ATGAGCAATACAAATTATGAGAAATGATATTGTCATACTTAAAATTTGGTATCGTTTGGGGAAAAAAGGGTACTTTAAGAGAGTTATTTATCAGTATCGCTCTTAAAAAATGAACGTCGAGAAGAATCTGAAACCTACTATAAGAATTGGAATTCACCTAGTGTAAAAAATAAAGAGATTTATAATATAGGAATGTTTGACTTAGAGCCAAAGAAGATAATCGAGGTTGTTGAACAAACCATCCCTATTAAACAAGGGTTTGAAACTATTAGATAATTAGACCCATAGATCTTGAGATGGAGAGAAAAATATAAATTTTTACATATAGGGTTAGCACAAGTAGCTCTTAAACCCCCTAATAAAGAATGCATATTTACTTGTGGCCTAAGAGATTGTACGAAGTGCATCACTTAATTCAAGTACCACGAGTGAAATTAATAATGATTAACGCACTCAAAGGTTGAATAGATGATTTGTAGAGCTTGTGAAATAATTATTTATTCTTTTGTTTTATTAGCTTGTTTGAATTTTGAGATTTTACTTTGATAAAACAGTGAATAACATATGTTGAGCTGAGATTTTAGTTGAGTCTTTCTTTTGCTTTAATTGAGAAAGAACAAAGATTCAAGTTTAAGGGTATTCAATAAGTGTACTCGTTACACTTATCTGAGTTACCAAAAGTTGGCGCTTGGGAGTGATTTTATAAGTTAGATACTTAATTTTGTGTATTTATTGATTATTTTGAGAAGACTTGATATTGATGAGAAATAATGAAAAGAAACGAGAATTGATCAATTAGGATTAAAGTTGGAGAACTCTAGAATTTGGGGATCAACATGTTAAGTCTGAAAGTTAAAGGACTTCACATGCAAATAATGGATGACTTGGGCTGAATTAGAAAGTAAACTGGTGACTAAGCCCCTTTGAGCCCCATTAAATTTGTAATACATTTTTCTCTCTCTTCTTTTAATCACACATTTTTCAATACAATAATATTATACATTAATCAAAAAAATTCTTATTTTTCAACCACATATTTTTCAAAAAAATACTATTCCAAAAATTATGATATCAAATAATGGAAGCTAAATCGGGACTAAATTTTACCAGAAAAAAGTTTGACCATGTGATCAGAAAGTCAAACAACCAAAATCTGTGCGATCGCAACAAGCCCAGTTAGCCATCCAACAAGCCCATAAATCGCAGCCTGAAAAGCTGTGCAATCACATGGGTAATCATGAACCCAAATCTATTTTTCCTACTCCGACGAAAACTCTAGTTCTTAACATCACGAGGGTACGATTTTCAACCCTATTAGAGGTCCGTAAATAGTATTTCTTCACTTTTTTCAAAGGGATGTTCATTCTTGAGGCAAAATACATAATTACATCTATAGATTCTTAATATTTATGGCAAGAATTCAGGATATGTAGGTGGAATATCCTAAATTTTTCGAAAAAGATTGAATGTACATCCTTTTTACACAGTAAGTTTGACAGCTTTCTAACATGGGTGTCACCCCCATGTGAGATGGCTGTCAAAATGTATGTGTAAAAAGGCTGTAGATATAGCATTTCTCAAAATTTTCAGGAGATTCGCAATAATAAATGAAGAGGTTGAAGATTCATTGTTGGCAACTGTGTAGCAAATATCAACAATTGCTCAGATTTCTTTTCTTTTTTCCATTGTAATTGAACTCAATAATGTACTTAATCCTTTATTTGTTGAATTATATAATTATGAGCTATTGTTAGGATGAATGATATATGTTGAGTTATTAATGTCAATTTAATTGAAAGACTTCATGTTGATTGTTATGTTTGATAATCGCTTATTTGTGCTAAATTTAATTCAATTACTTGATCATCAATTGATGAATTTAAGGACAATGTTAATATTGAGAGGTGATGTGTTTTTTTAGCTTGTACAATGAGCGACATAGGTTGATAAGAGATCAAGAGATACTCTTATAGCCTATAGGTTATGCAATCTTGCGTGAATTCTTGTGAATTAATGCGTCTATATACTTATAAATTTAGATAAAAAAAAAAATTAGGTGCAAGCAACGTGCAA